AATTCCACATTTGAATGTTTTTCACCAGTATGTACCCACATATGGCATTTTAAATTTCGTTTAATTGAAAACTGTTTGGTGCAAATTTCACATTCAAATGGTTTTTCACCAGTATGCGATCTCATGTGCAATATTAAAGTGTGCTTAACTGAAAACTGTTTGGTGCAAATTTCACATTCAAATGGTTTTTCACCCGTATGCACCCTCAGATGCAATTTTAAAACGTGTTTAGTTGAAAACTGCTTGGTACAAATTTCACATTCAAATGGTTTTTCACCAGTATGCAGTATCATATGAGTATTTAACGTAAACTTTGTTGAAAACTGTTTCCTGCAAATTTCACATTCAAATTGTTTTTCCAAGGTGTCATTTCCATCATTATTTGTTAGTAGGCTACCGACATCAGTTTTCATGTCTTTAGAAGGGAAACCTAAAATTATAATTATGTTAAATCAGAATAAAGTAACTAATAAAAATGAATAAAGTATGATAGCAGAAACTACTAGACAGGCTTGAAAAAACCTGTTTGTGTAAGACGTACAAATTGTAATAATAAAAAAATAGTTTATCAAGTTTTATATATTGCTCCAAGAAAGTAACGCACTAATTATTATTATTAGAAAATTATTGCCAATTTAAATAAACTGTAAATATTTTAGTATATTTTAAAAGAACCCTATATTTTAGTATATTTTTTGCTGCTGAATTCTTAACTATCAGTAATTCTTTTTCAGTTCCTTTAATGGAAAGTCTATTTTAAGTCAGTTTAAGATTTAATTTTTACGCGCTTTGGAATTCTTATGCTTAAAGTGTTAAGGTGCAATGAGAATCCAGAAATCTAAGACCTGAAGGATATGCTCAAGTGGTTGCATTATACGAAGAAGGTTTGAGTTGTCGCTTAATAGTGAAAGAATCAGTGTGTTCCATACATCAGTATCGCAATGTGGTTGAGCCATACGTGGTACCTAGCGATAATTTGAGAAAGAATATAGCTAAATGATAGATGAAAATAGAATCAAACAAAATAACGAATTTAAAGAAAAACAGATGCTCTTCAGTGAAGTATGCTGTTGGTGACCTGGTATTGACAAAAGTTACCAGCAAACAATGAAAGTAAGAAGCTTTTAGAAAAGTATAGAGGGCCATTCAGGATTGCTGAGGTTCTACCAAATGATAGATATCGTGCAAAAGAAAATGTGTAGAACACATCAAGCGATTTAAGATTGATCATTGACTGACATTGGGTCCGATCACAATCCCATAGTAGCTGTAACCCAATTAAAATTAAAAAAGGTGATCAAAAAGAAGTCTCTCAAAAAGATTGATACAGCCCAACTACAAGAAGAGAAAGTTAAGGAATCAGTTCAAAGACAACTGAACGAAAATTTAATTTGGGAAAATATTGGTGAAAACGTCGATGAGGGCTTAAATAAAATCGTAACGACAGTAAAAGAAATCTGTGTGAGAAATTTACAAGGCAGGTCAAAGTCAAAAAAGCAACGATTTGATGGAACAACGGCGACTAGCAAAAACCAACGAAACACTTTACAATAGCATACAAAAAGAAATTCAACGTAAAATACGAGAAGCAAAGAGTCAACATCTAGCCAAACAGTGTCATGACATTGAAGAACTCGAAAAAAGATACGACACGTTAACCATGTATAAAAAAGTAAAAGAAGCGGCTGGTATCTTCAATAAGAAACAAAATGCATTGCTACAGGATGAAAATGGTAAAGTAATATTCGAAGTAGAGGACAAACTTAAAGAAGACGATAGGAGTAGTTCACCTCCCGATATTACTAACTGCGACGGACCCCTAATAACACGCTGTGAGGTTATAAAGGCCATACAATCATCAAAAGATGGCAGAGCGACTGGTCCTGATGAAATTCCAACTGAAATATATAAGCTTATAAAGGATAGCAATGTTTTAGAGGCTATAACTTCGTTTTTCAATACCATTTATACCAGCGGACAACTACCTAATGGTTGGTCTAACTCACTGTTTATAGCTCTACCTAAGAAGACAACAGCAAAAACCTGTGCTGATTATAGAACCATCAGTTTGTTAAACCACTTATTGAAAATTTTTCTGAAGGTAATACATGGTCGTATCTACAATAAATGTGAGGAATACCTGGATGACACTCAGTTTGGTTTCCGTAACGGATTTGGAACGAGAGAGGCACTGTTTGGAATGAACGTACTTGCTCAAAGATGTCGTGATATATCTGTAGACATATACTGTTGTTTTATTGACTTTCAAAAGGCATTTGATCGTGTTAAGCACTCTATACTGATCAAAGCTCTAAAAGACATAGGCTTGGACGGCAGAGATGTTCGAATAATTGCAAATTTATATTGGAATCAAACAACATCAGTTTTAGTAGATGGTGTGGAATCACAAGCTCTCAATATTAAAAGAGGAGTACGGCAGGGATGCCTCTTGTCACCCCTGCTTTTTAAACGTTTACTCCGAAAGAATTTTCAGAAAAGCGCTTTCTGAAAAACAAGAAGGAATACTTGTGAACGGCGAAGTCATCAATAATTTGCGATATGCGGACGATGCAGTACTCCTAGCTTCTAGTCAAGAAGATCTGCAAACACTACTTGATAGTGTCGTTGAGAGTTGTAGGGAGGCAGGTCTTGATCTGAACATAAGGAAAACCAAAATACTTGTAATAAGTAAACAACAGAATATAAAACCGTCTATATATGTAAATAATACCAAACTTGAGCAAGTTGATAAAATCGTCTACCTTGGACAGCAATTAAATTGTAATGCAGAAAATCACGGCGAAATTAGATCCAGAATAGAGCAGGCTAGAGCTGCTTTTAGAAGGATGTCCAAGGTGTTATGTAACAGAGACCTAAAACTGGCATTAAGGATCCGCCTACTTCGCTGCTACGTGTTCTCGGTCTTACTTTATGCTGTCGAGTCCTGGACTGTGAATAAAATCGATCTAAATCGCCTTGAGGCTTTCGAAATGTGGTGCTGTAGAAGAATTTTAAAAGTTTCCTGGGTGGAGAAGATTCGTAACTCCATAATACTCGAACGTCTCAGCAAGACTACTGAGATCATAAAAAGCATCAAGCAGAAGAAAGCTGGAATATTTCGGACATGTAATGAGAGGCCCCAAATATAGATTGCTACAAAATATCATGCAAGGAAAAATAGCAGTCAAAACGCAGTCCAGGACGAAGAAGAACCTCATGGTTGAAGAACTTGCGAGATTGGTATGGTGTAGATACAAGCATGCTATTTAGGGTGGCAGTGAATAAAATTAAAATAGCTATGATGGTAACCAACGTTCTGAAAGGACATGGTACATGAAGAAGAAGAAGATTTAAGATTCAAAGATCTTGAAAGATTCAAAGATCTTGAAATTATTCAGGTTAATTACATGATAGTATAGTCGTTCTGTAAAATGACATAAAGATATTCTATTGTTTAAAAGGAATTTGTTTGAATAGTTGGAACTATTAAAGAAATTATTTTAATTGTCATTCTGAAAATGACAACAAAGTATTTCAATGATCTAAATGGGTTTGTTTGAGTAGTTCTGAATATTTGAAGCAAATTTATTTTATTCGTCATTCTGAACAATGACCACCAAATGTTTTAATATTCTGAATGGATATTCAGTTCGTCATTCTGAAAAATGACAACCAAGTAATTTAATGTTCTGAATGGATATTCAGTTCATCATTATGCAAAATGACACCCAAATATTTTAATGTCTTAAATGAGTTTGTTTGAATAGCCGTAGTTATTGAAAACAAATTTACTCACATTGTCATTCTGAAAAATGACAGTAATATGGTTTAATGTTTAAAAATGAGCTTATTTGGATAGCTGTAGCTATCTGAAACGAATTGATTTAGACTGTCATTCTGCAGAATGATGGAGCCTTTCTATAAATTGGCATTCTTAATAATAAAAATCATTTATTTTATAACATTTAAACTTTGAGGGTATACAAGGCAACTATCGAACACGGTGATTAATTTAATCTTGCCCAAGTACTTTCGATCAATAGATCATCTTCAGGGGCATTTCGTCAATTGTGGCCTATCCGACATAGTAGAATGTCATAAATGTAAAATTTGGACATAACAATACAAAATACAATACACTAAGACAAACAAATACTTTAAAATTTATATGGAGAAGCTACATATTGTATAGAAGCCGGAGACAGAATCTTTCTGTCTGATATGTTCGTTATAGATAAAGTTCGTTTTTCTTCTTGACACCAAGTACGCAGATGTTCTCACTGACTTTTCTTGGCTTTGCTCAACTGCCTACTTAGCTGACGTGTTTGAACACTTGAATGTATTAAACTTAAGTTTGCAAGGGAAAAATGTAGACATGTTCAAAGTTGAAGATAAGATCAGTGCTATGGTAAAAAAGTGCCAGCTGTGGGCGGCAAGGATTGAAAACGAGTCGTTCACTAACTTTCCTAATTTGAAACAGTTCTTGGAGTCTGCAGAGCAGAGTTTACCTGACCCGATAAAGATCAATGCAGCCGAGCACCTACGTAGCCTAGCCACGACTTTTAGGATATACTTCGCTGAACCTGACGCTGACGATCGTTGGATTCGAAATCCTTTCAGCTGTCAAGCAATTGAACAAATCCAAGGCCTCACAGAAGAAGAACAAGATAAGCTTGTGGATTTGTCGAGTTGTGGTACGATGAAGGACATTTTTAATGGCGAGAAAACAGCAGACTTCTGGGCAACAGCACGCAAGGATTACAAAGAACTTGGAGACAAGGCCATGAAACAAATCCTTCCGTTTGCAACAACCTACCGGTGTGAGCAAGCATTTTCTTCCATGTGCTTCATGAAAAACAAATATAGGAATCGGCTTGACATGCGGTCGGATTTCAGAGTGAAAGTTTCAAGTTTGGAACCTAATATTACAGAAATAATGGATTCTAAGGTTAAATTCAACGTATCTCATTAATTGAGCAGTGAAAATTAAAACTAATAATGTATAGGTACTCTGTATTTTCACAAATATATCCTAAATAGCATTAGTTTGATTTATGTTTTCACATATTTTGACTCTTTTCAGGTAACTTTAGGTTTGTTTAGGTCTTTAGGAAATGGTGGGGGTCCTCGTCATTGTAGTACCTTGATGAAGGGGTCCTTTGAAAAATTTAGTTGGGAACCCCTGTATTAGACGACATTATTCAATACTGATGCCACCAATTTCTATTTCACATCTGATTAAGTACTATTGATTTAGTTTTCTGAGATGATATTGTCATATTAAATTCTTTTGCTCTTATGTTAAATCTGTGGATCTTCATCTTGGGCTATTAATATTTCGTCGTCTGCGTAATAGGAATATTTTTACTTCTTTGCTTCTTATTCTGTATCCTCTTCCTTTGTTGACACTTTTGATGATTTCAACCATTATTAAATTAAAGAGCATATGACTCAATAAGTCCACTGTGTTATTCGGCTTGTCCATCTATTCTGACTTCCATTTTGTTGTTTTGGTAGATGTTTTCAATAGTTACGCTGGTCTATTATACTCTAGTGATTTCACAATAATTTGCTGTATGACGAATATTGCATCTGTACACGACAGTGAAGTACTAAAACCCTGTTGTTTATCTGCTAAACTTATTCTATGATTCATTAGTTCGTGTAAAATTTTAGTTGTAAGTTTTAGGGTAGTATTTAACAAGTTCTATGTAGTCTGGCTGTTTTTTATATCCTTTTTTGAATAGTAGAATTAGTTCGCTCGTTCTCCGTTCTTCCGGTATTTTATAATTTTGTTAATTGTTTTGTCATTGCTGCTCCACAATATTTCAGTAATCGTTTGGTATTCCGCCTTTACCTGCTGCTTTTGTTCTTAAGCTTTTCAAGTATTTTACGAACGCCCTGTATATTTATATTAAGTTTTTCATTTGTGGTAATTTCTGATGTTTCCGGTTCTAGCGTCGCTTGTTCTTCCTCTGCATAGAGCTTTTTTAGGTAATCAATCCTATCTATGGGTTTTGGTTCAATTAGTTCCTTTACCTCCGTTCTTTGACCGCTTATAAAGCGCGATATTTCCTTTGGGAGACTATAAATATCATGTTCCATTTCCAAACTTCCTTGGGCGAGGCTAAAATATTCGAATCCAGAAGGAAACTAAGTTCTTATAGCTGGCTGTATACCATGTATCATGTATCAGAAAAAATTTATTTAAAATCCTTTATAAAAGGTATATAATTAAAATATTATACAGTGATGAGTGCCTTACCATCAGGCTTTTTAACGTAAGAGATAGAAAACACAGTTACCTTGTGAAACAAAAGTAGATGCAACTCGTAGAGGTGGGAAATAATCGATAGAAACCTATAACTTACATTACATTACATTACCACTATCGATACTCTCACACCTTTAGACGTTAGCTTCGAGCTAAATCACCTCGATCAAGTAAAAACTGATTGACCACAATAAAGCAAAAATGTGAATAAAATAATTTAATTAATAGTGATTACTTAATATAAAAATTTAAATTATTAACCAAGAATAATTTCTACTATGATTTGAGGAGTTTCATACACACTTGTCACGGAATAATTATCAATCCTTCATAAATTAGTGGTAAGAATTCGACACTGGGATGCAGACAATTAGAGTTCAAAACCCACATGTGTGTTTTTTTTTAATAATTTGAAATTATGCAGAGATCGTTTTGCTTTTGAACATTTATGTCAGTCGTTACTAGTAGTAGAAGTGTTTAAAGTTAAACATAAATATCTTATTGAAAAAAAGTGTCGTACTTTCGAAAATAAAGTAAAATTCTTCAAAATTAAAAGAACGTTTAAATAATGTTTAAATAAGTAAAAATTCTACAAAAATAAAAAAATATTGTAAATAAACGTATTTACAATTGTCAATTGTTTTGAAAATCATTACCTGTACAGAGGAATTGATATTAACACTGAGAATTTAGTGATGGATTTGACATACCCGATTATTTTGCATTCAGAACTGAAGACAGTAAAACTGGAATTGAATTTGAATTATTTTGTATTTCCATTTTATAACATTGGAATAAGAATAAATTGTAAATAATGAGTTTTTCGAAAACTTGTTACCTAATATGTATCATATTTTCTATTATTTTTTGATTGATAAAACAAAAATGTTATCCTTGGTGTGAATTGAACCCGAATCTTCTTATCAATAGACCACGTCTCTAACTATTACACCAATTCCACATACATTAATCGTTTTCGGACAGAACATACCTACCTTTATTTTAGTGAAATATTTCAGCTGAGTTATTTTATTATTAAATAAACTTAAAGATTTATAATTTAAAATCGCTAATAATTAATGTTTTTTTTAATATAATATATCTTAATTTATTCAATTATTTATTCTAACATCAGAAATTATTAAAATAAAATATTTTCGAGGTTATCCGTATAATTATGACTGAAGTCAAATAGCCACGTCTAACGTCTAAAGGTGTGAGACTATTGATAGTGATAATGTAATGTAATTTATAGGTTTCTATCGATTATGTTCCACCTCTAAGAGTTTCATCTCTTTTTATTTCACAAGGTAACTGTGTTTTCTATCTCTTACGTTAAAAAACCGGGTGGTAAGGCACTCATCACTGTATACCTTTTATAAGGGATTTTTAATAATTTTTTTTTTAATATTAGACTTAATTTTTGAACAGCATTCTTCGACTCAATCGCAAATTCACATCCTACTGGGTAAAAAATGTGGCTATAAAACACCAGTATGCTTTGTTATATGTGCTTTCAAACTATAATTTGTTGAATATTGTTTGTTGCAAAGTTCACATTTAAATGGTTTTTCACCAGTATGCACCCTCATATGGCATTTTAAATTTCGTTTAACTGAAAACTGCTTGGTGCAAATTTCACATTCAAATGGTTTTTCACCCGCATGCAGTGACATATGATCATTCAACGTAAACTTTCTTGAAAATTGTTTTGTACAAATTCCACATTTAAATGGTTTTTCACCAGTATGCGATCTCATATGCAATTTTAAAACTTGTTTATATGAAAACTGTTTGGTGCAAATTTCACATTTAAATGGTTTTTCACCAGTATGCGATCTCATATGCAATTTTAAAACTTCTTTAATTGAAAAATGTTTGGTGCAAATGTCACATTTAAATGGTTTTTCACCAGTATGCACCCTCATATGGAATTTTAAAATAGTTCTAGTTAAAAACTGTTTCTTGCAAATTTCACACTCAAATGGTTTTTCAACCGTATGCCGTGCCATATGTGATTTCAAATAACGCTTTGTTGAAAACTGTTTATTGCAAATTCCACATATGAATGGTTTTTCATCAGTATGCCTTGTTATATGTGCTTTCAAATTACCCTTGATTGAAAACTGTTGGTTGCAAATTCCACATTTAAATGGTTTTTCACCAGTATGCAGTGACATATGAGTATTTAACGAACACTTTCTTGAAAATTGTTCTGTACAAATTCCACATTTAAATGGTTTTTCACCAGTATGCAACATCATATGCGTTTTAAAATTTTGTGTCGTTGAATACTGTTTGGTACAAATTCCACATTTAAATGGTTTGTCTCCAGTATGCACCCTCACATGCAATTTTAAAACTTGTTTGGTTGAAAACTGCTTGGTACAAAATTCACATTCAAATGGTTTTTCACCAGTATGCAGTATCATATGAGTATTTAACGTAAACTTTGTTGAAAACTGTTTCACGCAAATTTCACATTTAAATGGTTTTTCACCAGTATGCACCCTCATATGCAATTTTAAACTATGTTTAGTTGATAACTGTTTGGTACAAATTTCACATTCAAATGGTTTTTCACCAGTATTCCCTGTCATGTGTGATTTCAAATTAGGCTTTGTTGAAAATTGTTTGTTATAAATTTCACACTCAAATGGTTTTTCAACCGTATGCCGTGCCATGTGTGATTCCAAATTAAGCTTTGTTGGAAACTGTTTGTTGCAAATTCCACATATGAATGGTTTTTCATCAGTATGCCCTGCTATATGTGCTTTCAAATTACCCTTGAATGAAAACTGTTTGTTGCAAATTCCACATTTAAATGGTTTTTCACCAGTACGCGCTCTCATATGCCATTTTAAAACTTGTTTCGTTGAAAACTGTTGCGAGCAAATTTCACATTCAAATGGTTTTTCCAAGGTGTCATTTCCATCATTATTTGTTAGTAGGCTACTGACATCAGTTTTCATGTATTTGCAAGGGAAACCTAAAATTATAATTATCTGTTAAATCAGAATAAAGCAACTAATAAAAATTAATAAAGCATGATTGCAGAAACTATATCTAGACTGTTATATAAAAACACAGTTTGACGTAGACAAAAGGTCCTAGCAAAAGAGTCTAAGGACAATTAAGGAGCGGAGCCCATGAAGGAGGCCTCCCAAGCGTAGAACGCCCTACGTGGGGACCGTAGCGAAGCTAGGCGTCGACTGCCGTGAGATCCGAATAATCCCATTTAAAGACAATTTAATATTTATATGAGATTTTCGGACCTCCTGGCCAAATTTAAATTATTAACCAAGAATAATTTCTACTATGATTTGAGGAGTTTCATACACACTTGTCACGGAATAATTATCAATCCTTCATAAATTAGTGGTAATAATTCGACACTGGGATGCAGACCCCACATGTGTTTTCTTTTTTTTTTTTTTTTTTAATAATTTGAAATTATGCAGAGATCGTTTTGCTTTTGAACATTTATGTCAGTCGTTACTAGTAGTAGAAGTGTTTAAAGTTAAACATAAAGATCTTATTGAAAAAAAAGTGTCGTACTTTCGAAAATAAAGTAAAATTCTTCAAAATTAAAAGAACGTTTAAATAAGTAAAAATTCTACAAAAATAAAAAAATATTGTAAATAAAAGTATTTACAATTGTCAATTGTTTTGAAAATCATTACCTGTACAGAGGAATTGATATTAACACTGAGAATTTAGTGATGGATTTAACATACCCGATTATTTTGCATTCAGAACTGAAGACAGTAAAAACTGGAATTGAATTTGAATTATTTTGTATTTCCGTTTTACAACATTGGAATAAGAATAAATTGTAAATAATGAGTTTTTCGAAAACTTGTTACCTAATATGTATCATATTTTCTATTATTTTTTGATTGATAAAACAAAAATGTTATCCTTGGTGTGAATTGAATCCGAATCTTCTTATCAATATACCACGTCTCTAACTATTACACCAATTCCACATACATTAATCGTTTTCGGACAGAACATACCTACCTTTATTTTAGTCAAATATTTCAGCTGAGTTATTTTATTATTAAATAAACTTAAAGATTTATAATTTAAAATCGCTAATAATTAATGTTTTTTTAATATAATATATCTTAATGTATTCAATTATTTATTCTAACATCAGAAATTATTAAAATAAAATATTTTCGAGGTTATCGTATAATTATGACTGAAGTCAAATAGCCACGTCTAACGTCTAAAGGTGTGAGACTATTGATAGTGATAATGTAATGTAATTTATAGGTTTCTATCGATTATGTTCCACCTCTAAGAGTTTCATCTCTTTTTATTTCACAAGGTAAGTGTGTTTTCTATCTCTTACGTTAAAAAACCGGATGGTAAGGCACTCATCACTGTATACCTTTAATAATAAGGGATTTTTAATAATTTTTTTTTTAATATTAGACTTAATTTTTGAACAGCATTCTTCGACTCAATCGCAAATTCACATCCTACTGGGTAAAAAATGTGGCTATAAAACACCAGTATGCTTTGTAATATGTGCTTTCAAACTATAATTTGTTGAATATTGTTTGTTGCAAAGTTCACATTTAAATGGTTTTTCACCAGTATGCACCCTCATATGGCATTTTAAATTTCGTTTAACTGAAAACTGCTTGGTGCAAATTTCACATTCAAATGGTTTTTCACCCGCATGCAGTGACATATGATCATTCAACGTAAACTTTCTTGAAAATTGTTTTGTACAAATTCCACATTTAAATGGTTTTTCACCAGTATGCGATCTCATATGCAATTTTAAAACTTGTTTAATTGAAAACTGTTTGGTGCAAATTTCACATTTAAATGGTTTTTCACCAGTATGCGATTTCATATGCAATTTTAAACCTTCTTTAATTGAAAAATGTTTGGTGCAAATTTCACACTCAAATGGTTTTTCAACCGTATGCCGTGCCATATGTAATTTCAAATAACGCTTTGTTGAAAACTGTTTATTGCAAATTCCACATATGAATGGTTTTTCATCAGTATGCCTTGTTAAATGTGCTTTCAAATTACCCTTGATTGAAAACTGTTGGTTGCAAATTCCACATTTAAATGGTTTTTCACCAGTATGCAGTGACATATGAGTATTTAACGTAAACTTTCTTGAAAATTGTTTTGTACAAATTCCACATTTAAATGGTTTTTCACCAGTATGCGATCTTATATGCAATTTTAAAACTTTTTTCGTTGAAAACTGTTTGGTACAAATTCCACATTTAAATGGTTTGTCTCCAGTATGGACCCTCACATGCAATTTTAAAACTTGTTTAGTTGAAAACTGCTTGGTACAAAATTCACATTCAAATGGTTTTTCACCAGTATGCAGTATCATATGAGTATTTAACGTAAACTTTGTTGAAAACTGTTTCATGCAAATTTCACATTTAAATGGTTTTTCACCAGTATGCACCCTCATATGCAATTTTAAACTATGTTTAGTTGATAACTGTTTGGTACAAATTTCACATTCAAATGGTTTTTCACCAGTATTCCCTGTCATGTGTGATTTCAAATTAGGCTTTGTTGAAAATTGTTTGTTATAAATTTCACACTCAAATGGTTTTTCAACCGTATGCCGTGCCATGTGTAATTCCAAATTAAGCTTTGTTGGAAACTGTTTGTTGCAAATTCCACATATGAATGGTTTTTCATCAGTATGCCCTGTTATATGTGCTTTCAAATTACCCTTGAATGAAAACTGTTTGTTGCAAATTCCACATTTAAATGGTTTTTCACCAGTATGCGCTCTCATATGCCATTTTAAAACTTGTTTCGTTGAAAACTGTTTCGTGCAAATTTCACATTCAAATGGTTTTTCCAAGGTGTCATTTCCATCATTATTTGTTAGTAGGCTACTGACATCAGTTTTCATGTATTTGCAAGGGAAACCTAAAATTATAATTATCTGTTAAATCAGAATAAAGCAACTAATAAAAATTAATAAAGTATGATTGCAGAAACTATATCTAGACTGTTATATAAAAACACAGTTTGACGTAGACAAAAGGTCCTAGCAAAAGAGTCTAAGGACAATTAAGGAGCGGAGCCCATGAAGGAGGCCTCCCAAGCGTAGAACGCCCTACGTGGGGACCGTAGCGAAGCTAGGCGTCGACTGCCGTGAGATCCGAATAATCCCATTTAAAGACAATTTAATATTTATATGAGATTTTCGGACCTCCTGGCCAATAGAAAATTGAATAAAAATAATTTCTACTATGATTTGAGGAGTTTTATACACACTTGTCACGGAATAATTATCAATCCTTCATAAATTAGTGGTAATAATTCGACACTGGGATGCAGACGATTAGAGTTCAAAACCCACATGTGTTTTTTTTTTTTTTTTTAATAATTTGAAATTATGCAGAGATCGTTTTGCTTTTGAACATTTATGTCAGTCGTTACTAGTAGTAGAAGTGTTTAAAGTTAAACATAAAGATCTTATTGAAAAAAAAGTGCCGTACTTTCGAAAATAAAGTAAAATTCTTCAAAATTAAAAGAACGTTTAAATAAGTAAAAATTCTACAAAAATAAAAAAATATTGTAAATAAACGTATTTACAATTGTCAATGGTTTTGAAAATCATTACCTGTACAGAGGAATTGATATTAACACTAAGAATTTAGTGATGGATTTGACATACCCGATTATTTTGCATTCAGAACTGAAGACAGTAAAACTGGAATTGAATTTGAATTATTTTGTATTTCCATTTTATAACATTGGAATAAGAATCAACTGTAAATAATGAGTTTTTCGAAAACTTGCTACCTAATATGTATCATATTTTCTATTATTTTTTGATTGATATAACAAAAATGTTATCCTTGGTGTGAATTGAACCCGAATCTTCTTATCAATAGACCACGTCTCTAACTATTACACCAATTCCACATACATTAATTGTTTTCGGACAGAACATACCTACCTTTATTTTAGTCAAATATTTCAGCTGAGTTATTTTATTATTAAATAAACTTAAAGATTTATAATTTAAAATCGCTAATAATTAATGTTTTTTTAATATATCTTAATTTATTCAATTATTTATTCTAACATCAGAAATTATTAAAATAAAATATTTTCGAGGTTATCCGTATAATTATGACTGAAGTCAAATAGCCACGTCTAACGTCTAAAGGTGTGAGACTATTGATAGTGATAATGTAATGTAATGTAAATTATAGGTTTCTATCGATTATGTTCCACCTCTAAGAGTTTCATCTCTTTTTATTTCACAAGGTAACTGTGTTTTCTATCTCTTACGTTAAAAAACCGGGTGGTAAGGCACTCATCACTGTATACCTTTTATAAGGGATTTTTAATATTTTTTTTTAATATTAGCCTTAATTTTTGAACAGCATTCTTCGACTCAATCGCAAATTCACATCCTACTGGGTAAAAAATGTGGCTATAAAACACCAGTATGCTTTGTAATATGTGCTTTCAAACTATAATTTGTTGAATATTGTTTGTTGCAAAGTTCACATTTAAATGGTTTTTCACCAGTATGCACTCTCATATGGCATTTTAAATTTCGTTTAACTGAAAACTGCTTGGTGCAAATTTCACATTCAAATGGTTTTTCACCCGCATGCAGTGACATATGATCATTCAACGTAAACTTTCTTGAAAATTGTTTTGTACAAATTCCACATTTAAATGGTTTTTCACCAGTATGCGATCTCATATGCAATTTTAAAACTTGTTTAATTGAAAACTGTTTGGTGCAAATTTCACATTTAAATGGTTTTTCACCAGTATGCGATTTCATATGCAATTTTAAACCTTCTTTAATTGAAAAATGTTTGTTGCAAATTTCACACTCAAATGGTTTTTCAACCGTATGCCGTGCCATATGTAATTTTAAATAACGCTTTGTTGAAAACTGTTTATTGCAAATTCCACATATGAATGGTTTTTCATCAGTATGCCTTGTTATAT